AAATGGTGTGACTTTACTTTGTGTACAACAAGTGAAAAATTGTGCTCCATGACTCAAAGTGCATTCTGCTGTCATGTATAACTAATTAGAACAAATAAATAAATATATTGAAAAATTTAAAGAAGAGGTAATCACAAGGAGTGTCATTTATTAGGAAAGAAAGGGGCAAATTAAACTGCAATGGAAAATGAGCAATTTTTCAAAGCCATGAAGGGGTTACTACACTTAATATATTATTAATGAGAATTCAACTAAACAGGTTTTCTATAGCCTAAGAAAAATGAACTGTTTACTCTTCAGTGTTCATGAGATGTTCATGGAAAGAGGTATAACTAAATCAGTTTGTACCATTAAAAATGGAAAAACATTGTCATAATTGTCTTTCAATGGAAAACAAGGCACTCCTGCTGCCAATATGGAGAAAATAGGGTAGCACCCTACACAGCAGAAATATGCATTGCTAGTTCAGGGCTCAGTGCCTAGTGCAGAGCAGGCAACTAATTATGCTTATTTATAGATGGTTTGATAGTTAATTGTTTGTATCAGGCTTGCTTAAGTACCTTCTCTGATATCTTCTATGAGGATTCAAGTTTATCAGCTCTCAGAAGATACTTTTGTGAATTCCTTTCTAGGTTTAGCCTGGACCCCAACCCTGTATTTCCCTGTTTTAGAGAAGACCAGAGGGACTCTCTGAATTCAGCTACTACCAAACTCCTAGGAATTTAAATCCTATAATATGAATGGTATTTGGCCTCCAGGGATAGAAGCCAAAGACAGACTAACTTAATGAACTTAATTTATTCAATCAAAAGTTAAGTTTAAACATATTTTCCCTCCGGAAACTCTTCAGGGCTAAAGCTTTTATTGAAACTCAGAGAAAGTTTCCATAAGGCAGTTTTGCAGCACAAAAGCTATTAATCTCAACAGAATTCAAACAGCCATGAGGAAAAGAAAAAGAATAGAGCTAACAAAGCAAAAGTCCTTGTATTTTCGATTTCCTGCTCATTCGAAACCCAGCAAGTCTTTTACAGATGTAATCTACTTGGCCTTACAGTACATTCTCAGGGCTGACAAAACAAAGCAACACTTGAATTTAATTTATAATTCACTTTTGTAATATGCCATTTCAGATTAGGATACAGTCATCTAATGTCATATGAGTACATTCATGGGTATTCACAGGGCCCACCGGGACCTTCTTCCTTCTTCTTAAAGGATAAACAGGTAGAACTCTACAACACAGGCCCAGATTGTTCTCTCATCTTGGTCTGCCCATGAAGAGCACCAGAGTCATGAGTCTCTTTGAGGGAAATAAAGCTGTGTTAGATCAAAGGTCTAGGGGAGGATTAGASGAAGGGCTATGTTACCTAGGATGTTTGAGAACTTTCAGAAGTGAACCAAACAGCAGTAGAAAACTACAAGAGATTTCAAATGAAAGGGTAAAGTTTCTAAGCTGGAAAGCTTGAATGTAAAAGATTAGGTATTATTAAGTTCCTCTGTTACACTCAGATTCCTGAGATAGTTAAGACAACACCCTACTGGCCATTTAGCCTAGGGCCCTGTGCAGTTCCTCACAGGGCCGGAACCAATCAGTTTGAATGTGTAACCC